AGATAGTTTTCATAATAATAATAGCTCTAGGCCTCTAGCTAATATATTTAATTTGTAAGGATATTTTGGTAGAGACAACATATATTTATTATCAATAATTAATTTAATTAGTTTTTCTTAATATACTCAATTATTTAACTAATATTTATATTAAAGATACCAAGTGAAACGTCTTACGTATAGAATCAATAGTTGAAAATATCAATTGGAAAAAAAAAAAAAAAACACTGTACATGAAACATGACCACCTAGTATTTGCCTTCGACATTCTTCCTTCTTACCGGCCAAAATTCTAGCCCTAGCATTTGAGAGTAAACTTTCCTCCTTCTCGACGCTCTGTTGTTACCTTTCTGCGGCCGCCGTTTTTTCGCTCTACATTAATCATCATCAGTTCGCCCCCAGACCTTGTTTCAGTTGGGGTTGTCAACAAAATTGGTCGAAGCTCGAGGTCGCCATTTATTCCTTGTTTCGGGAAGTAGTGACACTAATTTTACCATTGGCATCTGAGTCCCTTCTCCTGGATTTCTCGTTGACAATGCTGAGATCAGCGTGATATGAATTTGAAGGGGACGCTCTCTCATGATTCGTCTTCTATCAACAGTCTCACGTTGTTTTCAGACCTTCTCTAGAGGCATTGCTGCAAAGCCCTTGCAAGCATTCGCTTGCGCCGCCTGTTCGACTAAATGTCTAGCCCAAGTCAAAGAGGCAGAGGAAGACATTACAGCTCAACCAATAGATTCTGTTCAAGTTTTGAGGAAATGGGGTTGTAATAATGATGATTTGGCCAGAATTTTTGAACGTAACCCACAATTGCGCAATGCTGATATTGCCCTGATTCAATCGAATCTCTCTGTTCTTAGTCGCGTGGGGCTAAAAGCACCAGACTTGGTAAGGATCATCCATTGTAGGCCTAGGTTTCTTCTTAGTAGTCGGGTTCATCGTTATTTTGATGAAAGGTTTGCATATCTTGATTCCTTGTTTGAGTCAAAGGAATTGCTTAAGAGAGCCGTCGTGACTAACCCTTCACTGCTAATCTATGATTTTAACGACACCATTAAACCTGCTCTTGCACAATATCAAGAATTGGGTGTAAGCAAAGAAGATTTTCTTGCCTTGATCTGTACCCGGCCCACAATTATTCCAAGGACTTCATTTAATGAGGAGAAGCTTGCATATATACGCAAGATGGGGCCTTCCCAGAATGCAAAGTTGTATAAATATGTGGTTGCAATAATCGGGGTCTCTCGGGTGGAAACAATTCGTGAGAAGTTAGCAAATTTTGCCCACTTTGGGTTCTCTGATGATGAGGTATTTGATCTTATCAGACGGTCTCCTCTTATCATGACACTATCAATCGAAAAGGTTCAGAGGAATATGACGTTCATATTGACCACAATGAAGTTTGATGCTAAAACAGTTCTTGAAATCCCACGTCTCCTGTTTATAAACTTGGATACATTGTTGAAGCCACGAGTTCTCCTAATGAGGAAGTTACAAGACATGGATGGTAAGTTGGAATTTACACAACATTCAGTAATGCGTGCTGTGAGGATGACCGAGAATAGGTTTGTACGGTCATTCATTGAAAGCCAGTCTAAGGAAGTTGCCGATGATTTAATGAAGTTCTATACGAAAGCAAAAGAATTTAAGAGCTTAGCAGGGTCAAGAAAGAGGCTTGTTCAAAAAGGCTTTCCATTTTGAACCCCTCTCATATGTTTTGTCATAATGTTGCCGCTTCAATTGAGATCACAAGTCATCTAATCCTTCTTTCACTGGTTCAACATAGATGGGGTTTTCCTGGAAACAGGATTGTCAGTTTTGTGTTTCATCTGGCAGTTTGGAATTTATTTCTTCATTCTGGTTGTTAATGGTGACTTGGCATTCAGGATGTTATAGGTAAAGAAAGGACACATTGGGCTTCAGGGTGGGCAAATAGTGGAATATAGCTTGGAGGAGGATACTGACTGCACTTGATGAAATTCTAGATGAATAAACGTGGAATTTATCCATAATGGGGTGCTCCATGGTATATCTGAACGCTGAAGTTGTAGGATAAGAAGCCAGAAAATTCTTTTGAATGCATTAAGATGTTCCTATTGAGCTGCATTATCGAAAGCCATCTGAATTTTTGGGCCGATGGGGTAGACCTTTCTTCTAACCTAAGAATCATCTTCATGTCTCTTATGTTCTCATCAATTGTTTTGGAGGTGTGGAATGTTGCTTATTGTTATTTCTCCTCTTCTGATTGTTATATGCTCTGATTCTAACAGTGTCACTTGCACCGTGAGCACTCGCTACTACCGCCAATGGATAAAATGAATCCAAATTTACAGGCTCCTGTACGGAAAGCACATTCTAGTTAAATTTATAACCATGCAACTTGGACTAAGAACTTGTGAAAGTGTACTGGATCTGTTTCTCTAGCAAGCTATTAGACTTACGTTGATGTCTGGTCAAATCAATCAATTCAATAGCTAATAAAGCTGCAATTAATGAGCTGATTTGCTTTCTTCATCATTCCTCTTGCATTGTTGCCATCTGCATCAGACTTACTTTTCCTGATTATCGCGCGGTACCAACTCTGAACTCTTTTCCTTGGCTATTCTAAAATCCTCCCTTCAATTCTCTTTTGAATGCAACTTCTTATTAGAAATGTTAGAAATGCCTGCCTCCTTCTATTACATCTAAAGGCATCCACTATGGTCTTCGGAAAAGTCATTTTCAGAAGCAGTAGTTGATGAAATTCTCTTTAAGCTTGGGCTTGCCTCCAAGAGTCTTGTGTTCCTTATCCTATGTTACAGTCCTGAGAGCTGAATAAAGGTCAGCTAAGTTGAATGTTTAGCTCCTTTTCTCCTTTCTTATTGTCGCAATCCTTGAGGATTTATTAGTGTTAACAAATTGAACTAACATGTGGCCTTTCAAAATAGACACGCTCACCTATAAATATTCTTAATCAAGGTGAATCAAAATGAAGCTAAGCGAATTTCACAATATATACATTTGATAAGTGTCAAATATTCAATTTTATTTTAACAAATTGCAAAATTATTGCGTAAGATTAAATTATTAAAAAAAAATCCCCTTTTACGAAAAAAAATTCACGGAATAATCTCTGTATCGCGTTCAATAATTTCTTTATTTTAACTAATTAATAGGTTAATGGATAATAGTTCAATCTTTATTACAACATTTTCACTAAATATATTATAATTTATATAAAAATTTATGACACATTGGATGAAAATCGTAAAACATATCAGCTCTCTATTTGAAATAAGTAGCATTAAAAAAATTAAAATAGTTTTTTAAAAGTAATATTTTGTTTTTTTTTAGGAAATACCTGTTTAGAGAGCTATATTGTCATAGACAATTTTCTTAAATTCTTCTTAGATCCGTAACGTTAACGAGAACTTGATTTTTTTCCCCCTTGAATTTATAAATTAATACTCCTCCGGTCTTTAATATAGGATCCAATTGTTGAGTTAGTTTTGGTCCTAAATATAAGACCCATTTCTCATATTTATCAATTTTTTTAAAATTATCCTTATATATATTCCCTTAATCATAATCAAGTAGAAGAGTGAGAAGGGGTATTAAGAAAGATGATTATGGTATTTTAGGAAAAATGTGTTACACTTCTTATAATTAACTAACTTACCTAACTTCTTTAATCTAATTAAATTAGTTAAATGAGTTTTATATTAAGGACTGGAGGAGTAATAATTTTAAAATTAAGATCCATGTCATGTGTAATTAGATGACTTTTAATTTTAATGGGCTAATGGGCTCATCGGAGCATTCTTCCCGTTTTCGAGTCAAAATGATAAACGATGAGCTCTAGCCGCCATCAAGCGCTTTTCACTCGGGTGGCTGATAAGCCTTCAACCTGGACGCTGCTCTCTCGGTGCCATTGCGGGCTCTGCGAGTTCACGTTCTCTCTATCCTCGAGTTTCTTTTTCTTTACACTAATCATTGCTTCGTTTCAAAATATTTTCCGAAGGAATATTGTTTGCCATTATACTTGATGGAGTACTCACTGTAACCTGATCTTGCCATTGCCTATTTGAGTCCCGGTCTTCAAAATTTCTGGTTGAAAATACTGAGATGAGGTTGGCTTGAATTTGAATGAAATGCACTCTCATGCTTCGTCTTCTACCATCTGTCTCACGTCGTTTTCTGCTTTTTTCGACCGCAAAGCCTTCGCAAGTATTCATTTCTACCACCTGTTCGACCCAATGTCCAGCCCAAGGTAAAGACGCAGCTAAAAGCACTGCAGATCAGTCAACGGATGCCGTTCAGGTTTTCAGGGAATGGGGTTGTAATGATGATGATGTGGCGAAAATTTTGGGACGTAACCCACATTTGAGCAATTCCGACGCTGCGTTGCTTCAGTCGAAGCTCGCTTTGCTAAGTCGCTGCGGGCTAAACGCACCTGACCTGGTGAGGATAATCAATTGTAGACCTAGGTTTCTTAGCAGTCGGGTCAATCGTTATTTCAACGAAAGGCTTGCATATCTTAATTCCTTGTTTGAGTCCAAGGCATTGCTTAAGAGAGCCCTTGTGACCAACCCTTCACTCTTAATCTATGACTTTGACAAAACCATTAAACCTGTTCTTGCACAGTATGAAGAGTTGGGTGTAAGCAAAGAGGACTTTCTTTTCATGACCTGTTCCCGGCCCACACTTATTTCAAGGACTTCTTTTGATGAGGAGAAGCTGGAATATATACGCAAGACTGGGCTTTCCAAGGATTCAAAGAGGTATAAATATGTTGTATCAATTATTGGTATCTCTCGTCTGGAAACAATTCGCGAGAAGATAGCAAATTTTGCCAAATTTGGTTTCTCTGATGAAGAGATATTTGAGTTAATTGGGCGGTCTCCTTTTGTCTTGACACTGTCAATTGAAAAGGTTCAGAGGAATATGACGTTCGTATTGGGCACAATCAATTTAGAAGCGAAAATAGTTCTTCGTAATCCACATCTCTTGTTTTGCAACCTAGATACCAGGATGAAACCACGGGCTCTCCTGATGAGGAAAATTGAAGACATGGATTCAAAGTCAAAATGTCCACAAACTTCTATGGCTACCGTTCTCAGGATGAGAGAAAAAAGGTTCATAAGGGCATTCATTGAATGCCACAGTAAGGAAGTGGCCGATGAGTTATTGGAGTTCTATATGAAGGCAAAAGAAGTGAAGAGATTAGCAGATTCGTCAAGGAAGTGTGTGCGTGTAGGATTTCCATTTTGAGTCCCACCCATATGTTTGCTCATAATTTGCAGCTTGAATTTAGATCATGACACATGTCTTAAATTCGTTGTAGTTGTTGGGGGAATTAATGATTTTGCGACTTTTTCTTTCTGATGCTTGATAGTTCATGCTGGATTCTGTCCCTCCCGCTCTGTCTTCTAGTGAATTTTGCTCTCTGGTGCGTTTATTCTTCAGTTTTGCGGCTAATAACTTGTCTAGAAGAACTGGTAATGGTTGATTTGGGTTTCAAGATTGAAATCATAATGGAACAAGTGTAATAGGTAGGTGGGGTCTGAGGAGGGACAAATGTACTAAGGAGAGACAAATGTACGCAGTTTCACTCTCACAAGCAGAGAGAATGTTTCCTTGAGCTTATCAGATATCAGTGCCAACTATTTTGGTCAAACGTTGCCTTGTAAGGCTAAGCAATAGGCAACCGCATGTCATTCCCATGCATAGTGATATCCATGGAATACTCTGATGAAGTTTGTGAAATCTAATTGTTCTTATTAGTCCCCTCGCCAATCTCATTCTTTCTCATTTTGTAAATTTTTTTAACTTCTGACAAGGATCTTTTCCTCCTGTATAGGCCTTGCGCCTTACTTGGGATTTATTTATGATATTATACTGTGAATTTTAAATCAAGCTGTTAGTATAGCCTGTATATATACTTGATCTCAGAGAAAGAATCCTGCTTCTTTAGCAAATTGGAGCGACATAGGCTTACATTGATTCCTTATTCAGCTCTCTGTTAATATTTTGCAAGTAAATTGTAAGTGAATTGATACTATTGGTGGACAAGCGCTAGTTTTAATATGTTTAGAACTAAGTTTTATACTATCACACCCTTTGTTTCTTCAGTGGGTTGATAGAAAACAGTTTACTTCATTTTGCCGGCTGTTTTGTGCTGTGCCTGTATTTTTGTTAGGTTGGATATGGAGCTAGATCTAAGGGCCATTTTCTGTGTATACGCTCTTAATGGAATTCATCTATCTGCCGGCTTTTTTTTTTTTTTTGCTTGTTGTATCTTAATCTAACGAGACCTCCTAGTCAACAACATATCTAAGGATTGGGTTGTTGACAGAGCACGATGGCATCGTGTGATTAATGTAGCCGACCCCACCTAGTGGGATAAGGCTTGTTGTTGTTGTTGTTGTTGTATCTTAATCTGATTTTATGTTGTATGTTGGATTGCATGATGATGATTAGTGATGATATGTAAATTACTTAACTGATGTGAAGAAAAAATTGAGGGTCATGTGACGTCTACGGGGTAAAAATCAAAATGCTGCAATGTACAATTTACCACTTGGTAGTTGGATCTTTAGTATTACTAACCGGACATGCCAGATAATGGGTGAAGTTCTTATTAATTTTTACTTGGAAAACAATAAAAGAAAGAGCTTTTTCAATTATAAAATAATCATGGGACATAGACGTTGTTAGTATTTGAAGATTTATAGCTGGGTTCCTTGCGAAAGGAGGTGTTCAATTTTAAGCATATAACCATGACAATCAGTTGCCTTTGTTTTATAATATTCATAATTGACATTTTAACACGAACCCTTTTTTTCCCCTGTTAGATATAGATATATTTCTATTGGAGGCGATGCCCACTCACAAAGAGTTACCAATTGATTACAGTACATTATGCTTTCGTTCGCTTAATTCAAATAAGCTATGGATCAGCACTGGATCTCCTTAGTACTGTCAATCCTGAAGCTTAGATGATGGTGCTTTTGTAGACTTTGCACAGTTTTTTAATTTATATATATATATGTGTATATATATACACTCCTCTGTTCTTAATATAGAATTTACTTGTTGAGTTGATTTTGATTCTAAATATAAAATATATTTATCATATTTATCAGTTTTTTCTTAATTACCTCTATAGACACTTCCTCAATCATAATCAAGTAAAATAAGGAGAGATGATATTAAAGAAGATGATTATGGTATTTTAGGAAAAACATGTCATATTTCTTATAGTTAACTAATTTACTTAACTTTCTTAATCTAATCAAATTAGTTAAATAAGTTTTATATTTAGGATTGGAAGAGTATATATATACTCCCTTTTCACTCAAAAACAAAAGAAGCTATAAATCAAGATTTTATACAATTAATTACTCTGTGTATCTAAAAAATCTAGTTCACTGTGAATAAATATTTGATTATAGAAATTAATTTTGGTTTTTAAATGAAAATTTTAATTTTGAAAATTCATACCTAAAATTAAATTAAAATCTAGTAAAGTTATAAGAAATCAATCAAAAAGTATCCGGCCAGGCGGCCAAGAAATCAAAGCATAGTAAAATTAACTAATAAACCATGAATAATTATTATGTTCGAAATTATCATAATATTTTATATTTATGACTTGACTGATAAATGAAAAATATTATTACTTTTGATATATTACTTTTTGTTCTATAAAATCAGAGAGAAGAGGTTAAAAAAATATTATATTTTTCTTAATGACAACTATACTAATAAAACAATTTTTTAATTGTTTACTTCATCATTTTATTTTATTTTATTTTTTGCAGAATGATGATTCAAACTGATTTTCTTAAAATTTTTGTTTTTAAAATTAAAATTTACCAATTTTCTTCAACTCGTAAATTGAATCAAAACGCTAGTCTTGTTTTCTATTGATGCGTTTCATCAATTTCCACCTCTTCAGTCTTCAGCTTCAGAAAACGATAACTGAGGAGCTTCTCCGTCACACTCAGCAGTCTCTCCCTTTGGCTGCTTTCATTCTTTGACGCACCTCACTCTTCCAGCTATCTAAGGCGACTTGCTTATATGATCGTTGAGGGATATGGCATCTTCTCTTCTCAGAAGGATGTTGTTGGGTCCTCGCCTCATTCATTCTTCGAGGCCCCAAATACTCACTTCTTTCTTAAATGCAAGTCCCATCTTTTTCATGAAATCTCATCTGGGTTTTCTTTTGTTCTCCAATTTCAGTATGGATTGTGTGTATATGCGTGTCTCTTTCATCAGCCTTGATTCTGTGCCTGTGAATTAGGAACTTTGCTCCTGTGCTCATTTGTCCTACAGTGTTTAGTTCTGTGAATTGGTTTTCCATAGTTTTTGTTTTTGTTGGTTTTGGAGTCCTTGGTCTGTTAGGCTGCGTGACTCATTTTCCTTGTTTAAGTTCTCGAAGTATGATTGAGTATGAACCAGACAGCAATTAGCAAATTTATAACTGCTGGTTATGCGCGTTTTGCATGCCCCTTCCCATACGAATATATTGTTTATGCATCCTGCTGAAAGCCTAATAATATTCGGCAGTTTTAATCTGACTTTTCGCTTTTGTGACTGTGAAATTGGTGATGTCTGTTTGTCATCAATTGCGATACGAGCCGGAAGTTTCGATCATCATGCAAAATGGTTTCTTGCGCTGGTTCTTACATGATGCAGTACTTAAACGTGACGTTGGGATTATATATATTTGATGGTGCAAATTAGTGATTGTGAAATTGGTGACGTCATTTTGTGATGGGTGGTGATGCAAACTAGAGGGTTTAATCAGCATGCAAAATAGTTTCTTTTGCTGATTCTCACATGAATTAGTCATTAAATGTGCATTAGAATTATCTATTGTTTTTTTTTTTTTATGTGGGAATTGTTGGCATAAATTGTAGTTAGGCTCAAAGATTAACACATTTAGAGTTATCTATATCAGTTATGTTCCAGCCGTGGTTCTTATGATATTTTGATGAACGAAATTTCAATTAACGCCGTTAAAGAGAAGCATTTTAACTAGTCAGCCATTTAGGAGCTCTACCTTTATGGAAAAATGTTAACTTTTCAATTTGTTGGCCCATTTTTCAAAACATATTATTTCTTTCTGTATTTATGTGCTATAGCTGTTCTTTGACCTTGGTTTCTCATTTTGCATATGTACCTGCAGAAGAGCTCATTTCAATCACAAGCTGTTCCAGCCTATACTTCTCAAAAAACAAGGATAACTGGGTGGTCTCATTTTGTCATGGTTTCCTCCCCCATTGGAACACGAGCTTCTTATTCAACAGTGTCTGTATCTACGGATGATCCTGTTGTTTCCGTGGATTGGCTCTATGCTAATCTTAAGAAGCCTGATTTGAAGGTACTTGCATTTTCTGCTATTCTGAGTTGCCCTCTTGTGTGCAATCTATACCAGAGGCGTTGTAAGGAACTTACTTGATTATTTAATGCTAATTGCCTTTTCCTTTAATCCAAATGGGTGGCTTAACTTCTAATATCGTACGATTATTTATTTCAACAACTTTTCTAGTTTCCATGATTTTTTATTTTTAAAGACTTTCTCATTTTCAGCACTTTCCTTTTTCTTAAAAAAAGAAAAGATTGATGGGGATTAATCAAGATTTCTAGGGGTTTCATATGAATACTTTTTTGATATGCTTGCGAGACAGACTTTGATCAACAGAAATGTGGAATTTCCTCTCAAGCATTAAGCCCGAGAATCTTGTGTCCTTTTTTCGCATGTTATGTGGTGTCAGCTTGTTATTGGAAAGTAGGGAGGAACCCTTCTTTGTCTTTGCTTTGATTACTAACTGGTAATTGGGTGATTTTCAATCTGTTGTTTACATATTTTTAAATCATTCTGGGCCATATGACAAACCTGTAATCAGTATCATACATTTTTTATGCTAAATTCTTTAATTCTACTAGATGTATATGCATGATCTGAATTTTCCATCTTTGTACTGCCTGAATATGTTACATTACATCAGCCATGAAAATTCCTAAGCGTGTCTAGTCTATTCAGGTATTGGATGCCTCCTGGTACATGCCAGATGAGCAGAGGAACCCATTTCAAGAATATCAGGTCTGAACATAATTTTGTTATCAATCCCATTCTCTTTAGTTAAAAAATTCTAAGCAGCTTATGAGACATGACATAGAAGGGATATGCTTCTGTTTGTGTTTGTTTATTGTCTTGCAATTCACTTCTGTTTATCATTTGGCTATTAGCGTATTTTGTTTAACACAATTGCAACAGGTTGCTCACATTCCTGGGGCCCTTTTCTTTGATGTAGATGGAATATCGGATCGAACTTCAAATGTGAGTGGTCTCTCTTCATGTTATTTATAAGAGTCTTTATTTAAAAGACATTTTAGAATTTGTATATAATTTTATGTAAAGGCTGTTATTGACTTTTGCTACCTTATAAAAATGAAATCTTTGTAGGTCTTGCTGTGCAAGATGATATCGTTGAGATTTTTGTGTGAAGTTTTTCAGAAAATATTGTCTCTAAAAGTTTGGTATCTGTTTCAAAGCAACATTTGCTACATATAGGAGGAGGTAGGCCTCAAGAGAAGCAGCTAACCAACGCCTCCCAAAAGGAAAGGATAGGAACATGAACGCAAAATAAAGACTCATAATACTAGAAACAAATGAAGAAATAAAACAATTTGACTTCACCCCATTAACACCTATAGTTTTACATGATTCTTATGAAAAATTTGTTAACTAAACCCAAAGAAATTAAACATCATGCGATATTAACTGGCAGTAGACACCTAAAATAAATTGCAAGAGTAAATAAAAAATAGATAGATAAGAAGATTGATCGGGAAATATGATAAAAGCCAGCCAATAATTGCATGATCTATTAGAGCCATTAATGCTGTTAATTACATGATAACTGATTTCAATTGTAGTGGATTCTTTAGATGCAGTGGTCGCTAACTTTTTTTTTTTTTAACCATTAATAGTTCACTATGTGGATCTTATAAATTTTTTCTTCATGTGAAAATATTGATAACTTCACATATTCTCAATGCATTTATAGTGTCAAGCAGTAATAAATGAAAGCTTTCAGCAATTATACATGGATTTTTTAAGTAAATTTTGATTCTATAGGTTGATATGGGCGTTTTTAATTTGCCTCTGCCCATTTTATGCGTTCCTAATTGCTTGCTATTCTCTAGAGATGTGCTCATTTTAAATAGTTTTATTCTTAGGGAATGATTTTGCACTTAATGTTTTGAACTTCCCTGTATTTTGATGCAATTTGTTTCTCCAGTATATCTAATCTATAACTATGACTGGTATCAGCTACCGCACATGTTGCCATCAGAAGAAGCTTTTGCTGCTGCTGCTTCTGCTCTTGGCATAGAGAATAAAGATGGATTGGTTGTTTATGACGGAAAAGGAATATTTAGTGCAGCTCGTGTATGGTGGTAAGCCTTGCTATCTTGAAAAAGCATATTAATCTGTCACTGGAATGTGTAATCTTTGATTTCTGCTACGCAGTTCTAACTAATACTTTTCTTCATGGTTTACTGGTCAAAAGGATGTTCCGAGTTTTTGGGCATGACAGAGTTTGGGTATTAGATGGTGGCCTGCCAAGATGGCGTGCGTCAGGATATGATGTTGAATCAAGTGCTTCTGGTGATGCTATATTGAAGGCTAGTGCTGCAAGTGAGGCCATAGAGAAAGTATACAAGGGACACGGAGTAAGTTTGCAATCTGTCCAATTTGTAAGCTTTTGCTCCTGCTTGTCTTATTTAAAAAAAAAAAAAAAATCTTTTCTGATGTAAAAATATATATTGTTCTGTGGCTCTAACATGAGATTCCTTTCCGGACGATGGATTTAACAATATGCAATCCTTTAATGTATCCTCCTCGCATGGCCATTTCGTTTTTCAGGTTGGGCCAATCACATATAAGACTAAATTTCAGCCACATCTTGTTAGGACGATGGAGCAGGTGAGTTGCTTTATAATTAAGACTTCTTCATATATGAATTCTCTAAATGCTTGTCTTGATTGCGCAAAATAGCAGGTGAATCATAACTGCAATTTGCAATTGTAAGTATATGGTGATGTTAACGATAAAAGCCTACAAGTATTAAGTTGTCAAGAATAGTAATAAATATGGATTTGAAAAGTTGGTATTACAAATGAATGTTGAGTCTACTAGAAAACTTTATTGGAATTTAATATATCTGAAGCTTAATCTACTAGTAAGTAGTCTCTTGAAATGTCTGGTCTTGAATTTAATAGGGTCTCCCATCAATAAATTGCATCCTTGGTTATGTTATATCCCCTTGTTATAGGTGAAGAAAAATATTGAGGAAAAAAGTCACCAACATATAGATGCTCGATCGAAGCCCAGGTATATTATTACATTCCTTTTGACTTCTCATATACTTTCACGTGAGTTCTCTGCACTGTTGTGAGCATTCACGTTCCTGTTTTGTATATATTGACGCTTAGCATGCGAGCAGTTGGCTGCAAACGTGTAATTTCATCTCTTTTCTTTGTTGGTATTGGCTTAATAACTTAAGCGGCATCCATTGTTCATCATTATGGATAGAACTTGTTTCATGTTTCAAGCAGAATTTTTATGAAATGCTGTATAGGCTGTATTTCCATAAATTTCAATATTGTTTCCATACCAGTCTTTATTTTCATAAATTTAAAACCCACCAATTGAGAGCTCAATAAGGAATATATTGGAGATTAGGAGGTTTTTATTGATTATGTCTCTATTCAGTCTATTTTTCTTTTTATTCATTTTAATTTTGGAGAATTTCTTATTTTCTCTTGGATCAATTTCTTATATTCACTATAGTTCACTGTTTGGGATTTCTATTTCTGGTGTGCCTCTGTTGGACTTTATGGATATTTTATCCTCTGACAGGTTTGATGGAGCTGTGCCAGAACCCCGTAAGGGAATTAGAGGTGGTCACGTACCTGGCAGCAAGTGCATTCCTTTTAAACAGGTACCGCATACGGTCAATTCAGTACTATCATTATAACCCAGAAAAACACGAACCTTTCTTGTCATAGCAATGAAGAAAATATTTGTCATGCTATATTATCAATGGTGCTTGTCTTCCTCTGCAGGTGCTGGATGCTTCCCAAACATTGTTACCACCGGATCAGCTTAAGAAGCGATTTGATGAAGAAGGTCTGGAGCCCGTTGTGACAGAGATCCCTATGCTGAAATTAAATTTGTTCTTAAAAACTTTAGATACCTGCTGAGATGTTTGATATGGTTCTTCAGTTACCTGACATCCTTATTCATATGCAGGAATCTCTTTGGAAAGCCCAATAACAGCTTCTTGCGGCACTGGAGTAACTGCTTGCATTCTTGCATTGGTACCTCTCTCTCTCTCTCTCTCACGCTCACACGTGCATGCACACAAAATTGGTTTTTTTTTTTTTTTTGGGCTCCTGGAGATGAAGGGCAAAGCAAAGTGTCCGAAGCTACTTCTTGATAGGTCAAGTAATTGGACCTATCTTCCTGACCGGGTAGGGGGGGGGGGGGAAATTATTTGGCAATGTTGTTGCTATTGTATTGCTTCCACTTCGTTCCATTGGTTCAATGGGTCGGTTACCATATTTGTTAGCATATTGCTAAAATGCTTGTGTACCATATTTGATTCTGTCCTCCCTAGTTTGGTCTACTGGCGCACTAGGTGTGAAAAAATGTTGGCATCACTCAGGCCCATCCGACAACCTGGCTGAACTTTTGATGTTGAGCAGGCTTATCAGCCAGCAGTTTGGGCCCCTATTTTGAGACCTGACTTGTACCAAGGCTGGGTCTAGCTTTGGCGAATCCAGACCCCTATTGCATTCCGCACGCATGCAGACCCCACCCATCCACTAAAAGTAACTCTTTGAAAATCTTAAATTGGATGTCAAAAAACAGATCATATATATTAATAGATTAAACTACTGCTAACATGTTTGTGATGGCATTGCACGGCCACAAAGCCAGAAGCTTGTTGCATTTGTCAAAATGCTACCCCATACACACCCTAGAGCCTTTACCTATAGTTCTTGAGGGTGAACACATAGGTACATGGTCATTCTAGTCATAAAATGGTCGGGATCCGGTTTTCAGCTGAGCAGGAAAATACGCTTGTCGTCTAACAAAGACAAGCTTGATTATGAAGTGTTAAATATATAAATCTTATGGATCCATCCATATAAGGAACTTGGTAAAGGGTAAAGCCTCTCATGCCTTGTTTTGGTTATTCCCACCTTTTTCAGGGTCTGCATCGTCTTGGAAAGTCTGATGTTGCGGTCTATGATGGATCTTGGACTGAATGGGGAGCACAATCTGATACACCAGTTGAAACTTCTTAAATGCGATATAGCCACAACCTCATGAGCAGCATGCATTAATGTGTCTTGTTAGGGAAGGGGCTTTACCACCATAGTCAACTTATTTGAGCCCTGCAATTTTTTGTTTCTTTGCTTCTTCCCTTTTTTCTCCTCCTCAATGATTAAATAACAAATGTCATTGATCCTTGTTAAAAATTGTTACCGAAGCTAGTTTTGTGGTTTATAAAAATAATCTGAATGTGTTGTTCATGAGATACTGATAGAAATTGTGAAACGCCAAGTATTATCATGTTTTGCATTCCTTGGGAAGTTCAATCTCGTCAGTGAGACAGAAAAGTGATGATCATTAGAACTCCCAGGTCCCGCGGGGGAGGAAGATGATAGTTTCCTTTTTCTATTTATTTCTGTTTCAAATCTAAGTCAGGGCCAAAAAGAAGGCAAATATCCTCAGATTACACTAAAAAAGGATCTAAATGATGATGACAACAACAGCAGATAACAAGAGAGCATTAATTACATCGAAGGAAAACAAAACAAGATTGATTATTGGAGCTGTTCCTTCTCAGTGTCTGTGACAATGATCAACTGATGAAGTTCTTTGAGAATGGAAGGTCTTGTTTGGATATCAGTGTGATTTGTCAATGTGGTGACCAAGTTTTGTGGGACCAGGCACTTTTCCTGCAAGTAGAGCTTCTCTGCAACACTGGGACTGCCAAGCATTGCTTGTAATTGCTGATCTTGATTATCACTCCAAGTTGATTCTTTATCTTCCTGCAAAATGATTAAGAATGTGATGAAACAAAGTAACACACAGAATCCAATTCAAAGCATTGGTTTTTAATCACTGGGGGCATAAAGTTCCAACCTTTTTGGTTTTCAAAGAACGTTTTAAAGGATGGGATGAGCTTGTTTGTGATTCTAATGATTGTCAACTAAAATTAAAAATTAGTATATAATAATGTGTTTTGGGTCTTTTTGGCCCCTAAAAGAAATCTATCATAGATATGGTAATTGAAGTGGGTAAAGGGCGACAAATCTTGAGGAAATTTTGAAATTAATCCATTTTTCAGGATTTTATTTCTGCCATTATCTTGTAAACTTTTTTTTAATCAAATATATAGATAAATCAGTAACAAACGAAGCAGTTTTTTTCTAAATAATCATGTAGAATTGGTTGGTAAAAACTAAAAATAATTCATTTGGTCTGATTACATACTGATTTATTTCATCCTCGCGAAAGTATTTGCTTAACGAGCATTTAGGGGGGAAAAAAACAAAAGAAAAGAAAAAAAAAAAGAATTCTTGTTCCTAAAGACTGGCTTATGTTGACCATGTCTTCACATCCACTTAACTGCCTCCGTATTTTTCTCTCCCCTCATCCCCTAAATAATAATAATAAAGATAGCAATAATTATTATTATTCTTATTATCATCTATTATTATATATGTGTGTATACACACACACACACTATGGCCGTATTCTAATGTTTTCTAAACACCTCCTATTTAATTCCTAAAAAAGCATAAAGAAAGAAAGAAAGAAAGAAAGTAGGCAAAACATCAGCAACATGTGAGGCAGATAAACATTGAAAAACAGAAGAATGGTGACACCGTTGGTCTCACACACACTCTTAGGAATCAAAGTTGGCCTATCAACCTTAATACCAGACATTAACACATAATCATATGCAGATTCTCGACAACTATCCAAATGCCCACAAATCAGATTCTAAAAGTAAATAATACTCCAATTATTAATTATTATATGTCATATAATAACAAGAACTTAACTGATAACAGCAAGCTTCCTTACAACAATTATCATTATGTGTAATACAAGTGTAAAGATCCCCTATAGTTAAAAACTTTTTTTTTTTGCCCCCTATAGAAGAATTAAAACTTTATAACTAGAACTAAAATGTAGAAGAATCAGAATCTTAAAGGAACATAACCAAATTAACAGTTTAACATACAGGAAGTAGAGATTATGTTACATACCATATGTGTGTTCATAATCTGAAGCATCGAAACTTGGGCTTGCAGGTACTTAACATACTTGGAAGCTGCAAGAAGCATCTCAGCTGTGTTCATCTTGCACCCACCTGGAACCATCTTCCCCAGCTCCTGTGTCTTCTCTGCTATCTTCTTCCTCCTTTCTCTCGCCGCCACGCTCTGCGCCGACACCGTCCTCGCCGTCGCCTCCCCAGCCCCACACCATTTCTTCTCACTGTAATCACTCGCCGGCGCCGGAAGCTGCAGTGGTGGGACTCCAATATCATTAAACTCCGGCATTAACGAACAACAGTAAGGGTAATTATTATCTTCAAAACCGTCATAGAAATAATTATCCCTATGATACGGTAACTGATAATGATTGTCTTCAAAGCTTAACTTCTGGCGTTTAGGGTAGGGATATTGAAAGGTCTGAATCTGATCATCACTCGGGAAGATGTTCATGTTATAATCACAGAGTGGTAATGATGGTGTTTGATATTGAGGAGGAGAATAGGTTAACTCTGGGAAAGAGTAATAATAATCAAACAATAAACTGTTTGGATTATTATCATTAAGGAAGAAGAAGCTTTCATGATCTGAATAATCTGGTACTAATGGTAGTGGTGGCGGTGGTGTTTCTTGCTGGAAGAAGGAATTAAAGTAACTGCTCATTATTTCTGGGACATCATTGTTCATGGTTTGCTGCACAGAGGCCTCCCAGTTGAAATAGGTGCTTAGAGGCATCGCCATTATGACTCGATCAATGGATATGACCAAACTTAATAAACCTGGTACAACACAGTGCACAAAAAGAACAAAGCCTTTGTTAAGGTTAGCAGACAAAATACGATGACACTAGGATGACGAGAATGCTATTGAAGTGTGGCTCTGATATGGGACATGATACTTCAAACACAGTTTAAAGACTGTTTTATCACGAACGTTGTGGTTATATATGTGTGTGCACACGATACTTGTGCTTGTTCAGTGATAAAAAACTAATAAAGAAGCAGAAGCTGGTTAAGCATATATAGAAGACAAGATACAAAAGAATGCAGTAACAGGAAATGTATACTATTATGTACGTAGAACATGTCTGAGAGAGGAGGAGGAGGAGGAGGAAGAAGAAGATACCTTGGAGAATGCAAGAAGAAGCTGAGGATGTTATGAGTTTGTGGAGTACTAAGTGAGTGAGTGAGGGAGTGAGAGTTAAATAGTAAATAAGAAGAGAAAGAAAGGAAAACGAGAATAACTGACATTATCGTCACTGCCTTGTTGCTGCTTTGTGGGTTCAGATATTTCAGGGGAAGTTGGAGGCGGTTACGGAATACATGTGCTTTTTTAAAATCATTTTTAGGTTAATTATAGTATAATTTGCAAGCTCACTTTTAATTTTAGTTGTTCTCTTAAATATAACTGAATCAGAGGCTTGGGAAATAGATTCTCTCTCATTACAAACTGTATTGTACTCTTACATTCGAAATCTGGTTCGTTGGCTTCTTTCAGCAACATAACAAGTTAATCGAATCTAAGGACTCAGATTGAATCAATTTTTTTCCCTGACCGTTAGACAAAGTCAACGAATGAAATTTCAGATAAAATAAGATGACACAAAGTTTCGATAGGAGAGGATCCAGATCTCATTAACTTTCTCACCAAGCAAAACCATAAAACCTGCCCCTCGATCTCTCTCAGCTTACAAAATATATTTGTTTAAGGAAAAAAATTATCAATTCGAGGAATCTAATGTTTGAGTGGTTTTCTTAGGGTAATGTCTTATGCACTTATTATATATATTTTTCACATGAAATAATTAAAATACATATAAGTTAAAAATAACAACAACATAAATTTTACTATATGTATCTATGAAGAATATAATAAATATATTGAGATTTTTGTTCATTTTCAAGACAACATTAAAAAAAATTGATTAATTAAAAAATAAAAAGATGCTTGCTCATGCTGGGACTAGTACCAAATTAAACACCAAAATATATTCCTCCTGTCTTAAATATAAGACCTATGGAACAGGAGGAATATATACATTGACAAGATCAAATGAAAAAAACTGTACAACATCTAAAATTTTAACTAATATAAATACAGAATTCTCAGCTCAGGTATTAAGAAGTTTAAGAAAAATCTATCGTAGATTTTTTTTTCTACTTCATAAATTGCTCCATTTATGGAATGATAGTAACAAATAAATGTTTTTATCGGTAAGAATTGTCTTATAGGATTAAATTTCATTACTTTATAAAAAGAAACCAACAATATTTGCTGTCAGTTTCTCATATATCGTAAGTAATACAATTATGCTATACCATTTTTAGAGTGAAGATAAATTTCAGCAAAATAAATCTCCTTATAATGCTTCAACTTGTCTTAATTCAGTTGTTCCGTTGTTGGTCTTGTAAAAGGAAAAATTGTTGTTAGTTGCTGGTTACAATTATAATTCAAACTTAACATTTCATATTATTTTTACATTTGTGTATCCTTTCCCTAAAGAAGTAAACTCTTGTCTCTATTTGTCAATCTAATCCATTACTCTTCTGGTTCTTAATATAGGACCTAATTGTTGAGTTGGTTTTGATTCTAAATATAAGACCCATTTATCATATTTATCAGTTTTTTCTAAATTACCCCTATAGATACTCTCTCAACCATAATCAAATAGAAGAGGAAGAGAGGTATTAAGAAAGATGATTATGGTATTTTAGGAAAAATATGTCACATTTCTTATGATTAACTAACTTATCTAACTTTCTTAATCTAATCAAATTAGTTAAATAGGTCTTATATTAAGGATCAAGGAGTATTATTAATAAATTTCATAATTCAGTTTGTTAAAAATATAGTCACCGCACTCTAACTCTTGATATCAAAGGATTAACCCTAACCACTCAATTAAAATGTGTATTTGATTTTTTTTTTTTAACTTTATACAAAATGTTATTCTAGTCTCTTGATCTTATTAAATATTTTTGGCTAAAGTGTACATTTAATCCTTTAGTTTTGTACAAGGTTTTAATTTGGTCCCTTAACTTTAAAAAATATATTTTTAGTCCTTTAACTCCAAAAATTGTTAACAAAATGATAACACTAAGATCTTAAATATTGATAAAATATTCTCAAATACTAACATATTAAGTTTAATTTTCAAAATATTCATGATTGTTACAAAAAAAATTATCATTGAAGTTTAATGATAATGATTTTAGAGCTAAAGGACCAAATATATGCTTTTTAAAATTAAGAAATTAAATTGAAACCTTATATAAAGTTAAATGACCAAATGTATACTTTAGTCA